ATAAAATGGAAAAGACGAAAATAGATTATTAACAGGTTAATATTAACAGAAAAAAGATATTATATTGTGTTATTTCAGATTCAAAACATTTAATTGGAAATAATATTTCAAAAAGAAACACAAGACCACTCACTAACTTTACATTGAGTACATTAGTTCAAGAGAAATTGATGTGATGAAATTAAAAGTAGAAAATCAATATTTACATTAGCACACTGATTTGTTCACCAAGATGGTCAGTAACAGAAAAAGATGAAAATCTATTATTAATGGCAATTAACATTATTTTTATTGTTAATAGGAATTAATATTTTACTGTGTGTTATTTTAGATTCAAACTACCTTTTAATTGCAAGATACTACTCTCGTCCTTTGCAGAAATTCATCAAAGAAAAAGAAACACAAGACCACTATGTAACTTTACATTAATTAAATTAGTTCAAAAGAAATTGAACATTAACAGGAAGTAATACTAAATTGCTAACAGGAATAAAATTTTATTGTATTATTTAAGATTCAAAATAATTTTTAACTGAAAGATAAAACTTTGTCCTTGGGAGAAATTCGCAATAAAAAACAAAAAAAACAAGGCCAACAGGTGCTGTAACTTTACATTATAAGTACAGTGAAACCGTTATTAAACACAGAGCGAGCCTATATAATGAGGCTGAGGTGTTCAGCCTGCCAAACACACATCCCAATGGGCCACCAATGCTCCTTAAGTATGTGACTGCATTGGTTTACTCACTCAGGTATAATNGAAAACCTATTCAGAAGGCAGTCTGGCACATGTGAGATGAACATACTTAAACACAGAGCGAGCCTATATAACTAAGCTGAGGTGTTCATGCTCCCATTTGATTGGCGTATTCATTCAAATCCAATTTTGGCGTGTACAGAGTTGCCATTGAGTTCTGGAGAGCGATCAGGTGTAATTTTAATTCCATTTCTTAGACGTAAGCAATGCCTTTTTAATTAATTGACTGATACCTTCAGGAGAAGAGTTTAGAAAGATAATTGATTTTTTTATTCAGTCATAATTTTGTTTTTCCATGTGCAAAAGCATATGTTTTTGAGCTGTTTACTCAAATTAAAATGCTGTGTCTTGTAATTTTGATGCCAGATGAGAAAATGGGGTCTTTGCGGTTCAGAAATAAGTTTGGAAACTAAAACTCGTAAAAGACCCAAGGTACAAGCTGT